AACGGTGGATTCAGACTTCACAAAATTTGTTTATCTTTCTCCTCAGAACTTCAGGATGAAGATGATGGCAGTAGAGTCATTTTTCCTCTTGGGCCAGGCTTATTTTTTTCAAGATTGCACACATGTTTCTTGTGCTCTTACATTCCCATCACTATGCAAGAAGCTGAGGACAGTGGTGGCACACAGCTGTTTATGACACAGAGTCTGAGCTTTGGCATGAGGTTGATCTGGGAGGACCTTTTTAGCATTTCTATGACCTCCAACATGAAAACTTCTCTCCTTGACTTGCCTGTACCAACAAAAGTTTCTCTGAGGATAATCTCAAGAAGCTTCGGGGCCCCAATCCGAGGTTATGGAGAACATGGCCAGAGGCTTTTCACTCTTCTTTCCCAGAAGTTTCAGATGGCTTGAATCATTGTATCATAAGAACACATTAGGCCAGATTAAACAAGGCTCATTATAGCAGGCGATGCCTGGGGTGGCTATAATCACCTAAATTTCTTTCAGACGAATGGCAAACCATCAAAGTCATGTTCTTGTTAAGATGTTGGATACATTAATACTCTTCTCTGTTTGGATGGTCAATGAGTAAATGGCCAACGGCATCATCCTGACAGGAACTCACAGGGCCCACTGACTTTCCTCGCTTCCCACCGCTACCATGTGTGGGCTAAAATCTCCCAGAACCATCAACTACTCCCATAAGCATCTGTCCTGTCAGGTCACAGGCCATGTTGTGAGAGAATGCTTTTGAGGAGGGATATGCATGGGGCCATCACACAGGCGCCCATGCCTCGTGAGCGACTTGAGACTTTTTCGTTGAGGATTCTCCAATTACACAACAAAGAAAAAAACAAAACCCCACTCTGAGAGCTACCATTTGAAAGTGGACAAAGAACTCCAGAAGGTTTTGTGGCCTTTCTTTATAATTTCTCTTCATCTGGCTTTGCTCACTGTAGCAATTGCATCATCAGAGTATTATTTTGATCTTTACTCCCAGAGGAGGATTTGTTTAAGAATCAAGACTTATGTGATTGGACAGCTCTCCTGAAGCCTAGTAAATAATTCTGTATATCTGGCATCTTGAATAATCACAGCTTTGGGGTCAAGGTTGGAATTTCACCAATGTAATCAGAAGCTGGCATTTCCCACATGTGTTTTGAGACTTTATAGACAGGGGCACTGAAGTGAATAAAATAACAATCAGAGAAGTGATCCAAAATGTGAGCAGTGCTTTCAAAGAAATAGAAAAAAACCCAAAACGAACACCTTCTTAAATTTAACTGTGATTTGCAGCTTTCTCTAAAAAATTGGAGGTCAAGCCCTAGTCTTAAGAGAGCCATAAAATTTCTGGAAAAGATATCCCAAAGCATGCTTCTGGTGACTCTGTGTTGACCATATACTTGAAAAATAGATAGAAATCAATCCATCTTACCTTAACTTCTGGACTAGGAAAACTGGGTTCCATATATGCCAGCGATTTTGAACCAGTGGGCCACAAGAATTTTTAAAACAAGCAATTCTTGACTATTTTAGTTAGGAGCACTGACTTCCCTTAGATTGTCAAATCAAATCAAAACAAAAACGACAACAGCCAACACAACAATAGCTGTCCAGTGTGAATGGATCAGAATTATACCTTTTTTTTGGGTCAGATTGGCAAAAAATATATTTTTTGGTGTGCTGCAGAATTTTAGTGATTAGTTTATGTGTGCCATGAGATGAAAAAGGTTGAAAATCCATGATACGTACACGTGGGAGCATTAGTGATGAGTGAAAGCAAAAATAGGAAATCCCTTTCTATCTGTTGGATATTTTCAGGAGCAGGTAGCTCAGATTCAGGCTGACTGATGGGTGTGCCATGCTGTGGACACCAGGAGGCCTCTGCCACCCCATTCTGTGATTCACAGAGGGGGAAACAGAAGCCCCCACTGACCCTGTGGTCTGTCTGACCTTTCTTGAAGATGCAAAGAGACAGATAATTCTTAAGGAATTAGAATTCAATGTGACATATTCTTGCTTTTTAACCAAAAAACCCCACAACTGCCTGATAAAGAGGATGTCACTGTCAAATTCCCTTTTATTCCCAAAACCAACCTCTATGCTAAAAGATGGAGCAAAACCACCAAAGGAGCTATTCAATTCCAAGGTTAGTAATCTGCTCTGGGAAATGTCACTGGGGTAAAAGGTCCTGATGCTGAGGACTTGACCATGAGGAGCGCAGACCTGGCTTATTCGTCTGCGCCAGCTGTTGAAAGCAATCAAGTCCCGCTTTTCTGTTTAGAGAGGGTGGCAGTGTGAATAAACAGGCCCTCCTCGCTTCTGCCTTCACTGCGTGGAAATCTCCGAGTCAGTGTTGTGGATCCTGGCTCTCTCCCTGGCGTGCGGCATAAATATACTCGAGCATCAGAGCTAGCGAGAGTAGAATGACCTGCTGTATAAGAATCTGGTAACAAGAGAAAATGTAACACTTGAATTTCTGACTTCTCACATCAGCATTTTTTCCCTTTTCCTAAATGATCCTCACAGGGAGCAGAAATTCCTTGGAAATATAAGAAAGTGCTTCTTGTTACCTTTCAAGTTTAAAAAGGGCTTTCTCCTTCTTATTTCCATTTTGAAAAAAGGCACTGCCATTGTTTCCCTCCTTTGCACGGCCTGGCCCTGCCCTCTTGTCCCCAAGGCTACAAAGCCTTCCTTCAGCACTGAGGTGCTCCTTCGCTTGGCAGGGATGCAGCTGGCCACAGGCAGAGACCCAGGGGAGCGAGTTGCCATGCGGGGAGATGAGACAGGGACGGAAAATGCTCACCACACAATGAAAGGTAATGGAATTCCCAGCCAGCGTCCTTTCATCTGAGCCACTATGACTAGCCCATTACTGCTTCAATGTCCTGTGACATTTTTCTGGTATTTATGACTGTCAACCTCCCTCTCGAATCATGCCCATTCACCTTGATGGATGTCTTTTCTGGAGGGGAAGATGCATCCGAAATCCCGAGGAGGGATCTGCTCTTAAAGACTCACCATAGGGTGGGCAGCGGAGGTGGGAGGGGGTGGTTTGACTTCTTGGCAGCAAAACAAAAGGGACATTCTTTAGGTCCGGCTGATGAACAGCCACGAGATGAGACACTACATGTAGCCCAGCCTGCCCACAAGCCGGTCATGCGTCATCCGTGACTGCGCTGGAGAGAATGTCCCTAAGTCCCTCATCATCTGACTCAAATTTGATGTTTTATCTTATAAAAGTCTGACATCCATAACTTTTTGAAACTTGGGAAGCCGAGTTGAAGACTGTGAGCAAGCCAGGAAAACAGAAATGTCCTCCCTCTGGGCTCTGATTTTAGTTTTAATAGGGCTGGGCCCCTTGTGGGCTGGGGAGGCTGAAAGGTCAGCTGTCCTCAGTCCCGCAGGAAAGGGGAAGCAGAGGTGAAGGAAGAGAGCCTGCCAGGAACTTGAGCCCCTTCTCTTTACCGGGGGTTCAGGTCCATCACAAAGTGAGATGACACAGACACAAGAAGCCACCCAGAAGCCACAGCAAGACGAATGCTATGGAAAAGCAGGGAGGGCTGCCATGGGCTCTGTGTGGCTGAAAAGAGTGTGGGCTGGTGAGTTAGGTGTGGAACTCTGAGCTAACCCTAACAGGGAGACACGGCCTCTGGGAAGGCTATGGGCCTGATGCCTCTGCAGAGGAGGGAATAACGTGTGTGCCTTGACAGGGTGACTGTTAGGAATACGAAATAATGCAGTGAAAGCCTTTAGCACAGCACTTGGCACATGAAAAGTATTCAAAATTAGGAGCCATTATTATCAATAATTAAGTAGAAGGTATTCTACAGCCACTTATAAAGAGTGATATTGTGAGGGCAGGGATGGTGAATATGCACGGATTTCAGGCTATAAAACAAAAGGAATGGGACCTAAAAAACACACACAAAAAACACCATGAGATAAGAGGCAGCTCCATTTGCTCAGAATTCCTTTGTCCCCCCCAAAGCTTTGGGGCTCGTCTCCCAGTTGCTATAAGACTCAAGAGGTGACTCTCAGAGCCGGAGAGGCACCCAGAATCCTGCCTTTGGAAGCATGTGTGCACCATCTGATCCAACCCGCCTTTAAAAAAATGCAAGAAGTTAAAACACACATCCACAGACCAGTTGATTCAATAAAGAGCTTTTGGTGAGTGTTCATTCCAGATAATAAACCAAGCAAAATGTCTGGCTGTGTTTAAAATCAACAAAAGCAGCGGGAAAGGCAGAAAGAAGGGAAGGGAGTGATCGGCTTGTTTTGAAAGCTGCCAACAGAGCTGCTTTAGCAGGGGCCCTGGTGCCGAGGAGCCCCCCAGGGAGGAGAAAGGAGACAAACGCAGACAGGACGGAAGCCCAGGACAGGGGAGGAGGGGTCCTAGGCTAATGGGATGCAGATGTGGCCTGTGGGAAGCTTTCCCCAGGATTCTGGGAATCTTTGGGAGCTCAGGGCTAGGAGGCCAGTGGGTGTGAAGGGCTCAGAGCTAAGCCCAGCGCCTCCCAACCAGAGAGTGAATTTGATAATAATGGCTATATTTATCGAGTGTTATACTATGTGCCAGCCTGTTCTAAGTTCTTTACATGCATTATTATTCCCATTTTATAGGTGAGGAAACTGAGGCTCTCAGAGAGGCACTGGGACTTGCTCACAGCTGCTAAGGGAGACTCCTCTGCCTCATTCTTGAACCCAGGCTCCTTAACGCAGAGCTACACTGCAATTGGCCTGGGAAGGGCTAACTAGCAAGGCATGCTAACCAGCTGGCATCTGGGAAATGCAGATTGGGGAGGAAGGGAGGTTAGTGTCCAGTGACGAGTTTTAGTCCAATTGATGTCTAGGAAATGCCAACCATAATGTCACCAGATGAAAGGACTTTTTGCCCAGTTCCCACATGCAGTGGGGTCAGCCCTGGCCCTGAAGTACCCGACAGACAAAGGCACCGTGCAGGCCAGAGAAGCCACCCCGGGCCCGCCGGCCCGTCTTACCGATGGTGCAGTGCTCGCCGTTCCAGCCGGGGCTGCATTCACACTTGCCGTCTCGGCAGGTCCCATGCTCGGCACAGCGCGGGTGGCAGGCCCGCTGGTCGCAGGCCGCCCCCATCCAGCCTTCCTCGCAGCGGCAGGTGCCCCCTACACACACACCGTGGCCCCCGCAGTCGGCAGCACAGATCTCTGTGGGGAGGAAGAAGAGGGGCCAGGAGAAGCAGGAGAGGGAGGAGAAAGAAAAAAAGTAAGTACTGAACAAGTTGTTGCTGGGAACAAGAGTCACACTTGGCTACCTGCCTTGGCTTCTGGGAGCAGTCGGGATTCCAGGGGCTGGGGAAGCTAATCTCCGTGGACAATGACCATCGGACAAGAACAATTCTCCGGGCAGAAGCCTGTCCCAAACCCATTCTTCGAAAAATAGGATGGATGGAAGGGCTCTGTTCTGTTTGCTTCCCCTATTGCCAGCCTGTCCCCACGTCTGTGCTTGCCACTTCCAAAGGGGACTGTCCCGCTGAACAGATGGGAGGAAAAGTCAAGTTTAATTAAAAACCGGTTATGTGTGAAAACAGTGAGGATGAGTCCGTGATCGCCAGAGAAGGGCTTGTGGGTGTGTTCTGGGGCCTGCGTTTTGGTCCAGCCTTGACTCTGACTGACGAGGGGTGAAAGGAAGGCTGGACCCTGGGCCTCATGTACTCTAGGAGGTGGCTGGTTTGTGCTTTTGCCGGGTGTATGTTCAGTGCTTTGCCACTGCAATTCTAAGCACCATCTAAATGGCCTCTCTGATCCAAAGCAATCAGATAGGGGGGCGGGGGGCACTCCACAGTGGGAGTTGTCTGGCCCTTCACCAACACGTACATGACCTGATTCACAAGCCCTTGGGGCCTGGGGTCAGCGCAGCTTCATGGTCATCCAGGCAGAGGCTGTGGAGGCTCCCAAACACAACTGCTGTTTAGGGACCGGGTTGACCAACCATGGCCACGATGCCCCCTGCCAGGGCTCTAGAGGGAGACCCTGACTTGATTCTGTGCCTTGTGGCCCAACCATCTTCAAATGAAAATCCCAACACCTTTAGTTTCTTTCAAATTAAGTTAATTGGCACCTGTGTTGAATTGAATTTGCCCATTACTACTCCCTTCTAAGCTACTAATTGTGTAGCTATTTTTGAGAAAAAAAAGAAATGAGATACTAGAGGCTCAGTCCTTCTTACGAGTCTATAAGGCAATGGCTAAAATGTTCAAGAATTAAAAAATAACACAGTGAGTTACCATTTATAGTGAGTTCCCATGCCAGACACCTTGCCAAGCACACTGCCTGAGAAGGGAGATGCTACAGGCAGTAACACACTGGGTTCCTCAGCTGCCCAGAGGAGAGAGGCTGCTGTAAAATGGGTGCAAGAGCCCTGACATAGAGACAGACTCAGGAGCTTCTGAGCTGTGTGACCTTGGCCAGGTCCCTTGAGGTCTCTGATGTGCGGACTGTGGGCAGTACTGATGCTGCCTCATAGCCCCTGTGCTGACCCTCAGGGCTGTGATGAGCATGCAGTAAAATGGATGACAGAAAGGGCTTGGCAAACGGCAAAGGCCACAAACTCAAGAAATGTTTCTCGGGACAGTGAGTTTTAGACTAGGAGTCCAAGGATCAGGTTTGCAAGATCTGTGCCTGTTCAGCCACTAATCTGCTATGTGACCTTGGGAAGGTCACTTCCCCTCCCTGGGTGTCAGTTTCCTCATCTACTGAAGCGGGGACCTGATGGCATTATTCCTTCCGGCTCTAAGGGAACTTCATGTCTACATCATAAGTACCCTCCACGTTACAGAGCATCATCTACCCCGAGGCTCAGCTCAAGTGTCCCTCCTGCTGAGAGGAGTCGCCTTCGATTCATCCTGTGGTTGTTCTATTGCTCCTGGCCTTCCCACACTACATGGTGGAGTGGTTTGCTGTTTCTGTGTCTGTCTCAGTATCAGACTAGGGATGCCCGAGTCTGGATTGAATTCTTCTAATCAGGTCTAGGCCTGATACCCAACACAAATCTTGGCACAGAACCGACCCTTAATTAAGGTTGTTGGCTAATGGATTAATCTGTGTTTGCCTGGGGCTATAGGTGCCTGAGACTGTAAAACAGATCACAAACACCCTACTCAGCCTGGTGGAAATCAGTCCAGGACTATTTATCTGCTTATCTCTAGTGAGTTGCCCTGAGGGAAACTTGCCAAGTGTGGGGAGGGGGGGTAGCAGTGTCATTCCACCAAGCAGTCCTCCCAGAATGGGCCTTTCTCAGAATGCCCTTCAAGCTTCTTTCCCTTCTTTGCACACAGACCACAATGACACTCTGTAGGCCCCAGGCCTCCTTGAGTCCTGTTTCTGCAGTTCCCATCCCTTCTGCACCTCACTCCTAGGGCCCTGGCCCCTGGTGACTCTGGAGGCGGAGCCTGCACTCAGGGCTAGAGCTTCCAGGGAAGCCAGAGGGAAGATTGGCTTGGCATCTGTTTGGGTGTACTCAGCACTCTTTCAGGTAGCAGTTTATGGTGGCAGCGAGGTGGGGCCACTGCCTGGGTGCTTCAGGCAGCAAGGTGTGCAGAGTTGATGGGGGTGGAGAGCCGAGGAGGCAGGCTCTCTCCACAACTTGACTTCAGGTCTTAGCCAATAGGTAGTTCAATCCCTTATTAAGCAGGCTGGAAGCAGTGGGATGAAAAGCTAGTGACTTGGAATCAGATGTGGCTCCAAATATTAATTCTGCCAGTTATTCAACCTTAGGCAGTCTATCCACTGGCCCTGAGCTTCAGTGTCTTCCTCTGTAAAATGGGGATGATGATAGCACCCAGTTCAGAGGGTACAGAGTTCCTAATACATAGCAGGTATCGATACATTCATACTGATTCATTATTCCTCCAATAATATTCCATGCACGCCCACTATGTGCCAGAGACTTGCCTGATGCCAGGAATCCACAGGTCAATAAGATATGATCCCCTCCCTCCAGGAACCATAGTCCAGACAAAACACAGACTGATACTGGCATTCCAAGACTAACCACATAATCTGCAGCCGTTACTCACTTTCGCACCTTTTTGCTTATGTGCAATGAAGGAAAACCAGGAATCTTAGGATCAGACAGATTTGGGGTCTACCCTTGGCTTTGCCACTTGTTGGCTAGGTAACCTGCAAGTTGAAAGTTATGGAATTCACTGAGCCTTGCTTTCCATTTCTGTAAAACGGGAATAATAATTCCCACTTCACCCATCTCACAGGGCTGGTGTTAGATCAAATGAGGTAATGTGTGGGAAAGCTGTTCTTGGTTTAATAATGAACGCTTATTCAGGTTTTACAGTTTGCAAAGCACCCTTCATGTACCATGTCTCATTGAACTGTTAAACAATGCTGCTATCTTTCCTAGAGGCGATGCTACTGAGACCCAGACAGCGCAAGGGAATTCTACAAGGTCAGGTGGTCTTCTGGTGCTTCTTCCTCACTGGACAATCCTCAGAGCAATGCTGCAAGACAGGCATTTTCCAGATAAGGGAACGGAGAGGCAAAGGGGCAGCTTTTCCTTTGAGGGGAACTTGGTTCTTCAAGCACATCTCCCCATTTTCTGGCTCTGTTGTTTATCCTTTGTGACAAGTCAGACCCTGGATAGATGTGAAGTGAAATGAGATCCTCCACAGTTCTCATCCAGAGATCGCGGAGCTGTCCATCCAAACGCCCCATTTCCTTGCCAGTTCCTCTAGACGAGCTCTCCTGGCCTGGAGCGCCAGTTGCCTGGTGGCCGGGCACCCCTCCATCCGCCCTTTACATGCTGGGTTGTGAGCTCTTACACATTTTAATGGAAGGGGCCTGAACAGGGGGACCCTGATGTTTATGGGGTGCTGACAGTCACACAACCTGTCAGTGTCCAGGTTCTCTTCTGCCTGAGCGGATGGACCCACTGACATCTCAGAAGCCTGAGATGCTACTTTATCATTTGTCCTCAAGCCATAGGCACTGTTGTTATTGTATTTATATATACGTGTGTGTGTGTGTGTGTGTGTGTGTGTGTGTGTGTATATATATATATGTATATATAAATTCTTTTGTACTTTAAATAAAAGGAACTCCTTTATTTTTCCTTCTAGATTCCGCTTTGACATTAAAGCAAACAGAACTTCGCAGAGTGGTGGTGAAAACCTAACAGTATGATGCTAAAGAATGGGCTTTGACAGCTCATAAGCCCTTTACGTGACGTAAGTGGGACTTTGTGAAATTTGGGTCACGGCTGGTCTCTAGGTCTCAAGTCTCCTCAAATGTAAAGCAGGGATGACACCCATTCTGCAGAGAGCTGGTGTAGGAATTACGCTCATTTGTTTAATTTCCTAATTTCTCACTCTAGCGGGTGCTGGAGAGCCAGCGGTGACTATGACAGGGTTCTTTCCTGACCTCAAGGAGCTGACATCTAGTATGGCAGGCAGACATACGCTCAATCAATTAAACCTCAACATGAATGGAAGGGAAGCTGCTAGCCTAGTGCCATGTGTGATCAACTGTACCCATACAGTCTTATAAAAAAGGAAATGAGGTGGAGTGGCAAGTATACCAGACTGAAGTCAGAAGAGCATTATGCTAAGTGAAATAAGCCAGTCAATGAAGGAAAAATACCACATGATCTCACTCATTCATGGATAATAAAGACCACTATAAACTTATGGACAATAATAGATACAGAGGCAGAGATGCCTCAAACTGATTGTCAAACTGCAGCAGGAAGGCCAGGGAGGGTTGGGGGGCAGGAGGGAGGGGGGTAAGAGATCAACCGAAGGACTTGTATGCATGCATATAAGCATAACCAATGGACATAAGACACTGGGGGGTAGGGGAGGCCAGGGGATTGTCAAGGGCGGGGGAAAAAAAGGACACATATGTAATACTTTAAGCAATAAAACAATTTAAAAAAAAAGATCAGTTGTGAATTCTTGTTTATGCAACACACGCAGTACAGGTGAGCATTTGATAAATGCTGGCTGACTTTCATGTGATTAACATCAGGGCTTTCTTACTAAATGCTGGAGGGTCAGAGCCGGAGGACTCTTCTGAAGTTCCATGCATCACACAATTCATAGGATAGACTTTGGTTCAGATTCTGACCCCCCAGTTTCCTTGGGTCCCTGTGGAGTCCTTGAGAGAATGACTTAATCTCTCTGAGCCATACTTCTTCA